CTCGAACTATCTACTTCTTTTGTAAGGTCTGATGGCGTAGTGGGTTAAAGCATACTAGTTATGCCAGCTACTGGAAGGTAGTTGTGCTTTCTGGGTTCGAGTCCCACTGGTGGGTGTTGTCCAAAGATTGTTTATCTTCACTTGTGGTTTATGCAAGTATAGGCTTATAAGCTGGACACGAGTTCTCTCACATTGACAGTGGCTTGACGAAAAATGCAGACTAACCCCTCACTCATCTGGTGCCTTCGGGAGGTAGAGATGTTTGAGATATATATCTCGAACTATCTACTTCTTTTGTAAGGTCTGATGGCGTAGTGGGTTAAAGCATACTAGTTATGCCAGCTACTGGAAGGTAGTTGTGCTTTCTGGGTTCGAGTCCTACTGGTGGGTGTTGTCCAAAGATTGTTTATCTTCACTTGTGGTTTATGCAAGTATAGGCTTATATGTCGTACCTAGTAGCCAGAACGCACTTCTATGCCTACTATGCAAGGCCCGATTTGCCTAATAAGCCAAGTTTTCCTGAATTAATATATTTTCTCTAATTTTTTTCTTATGAAATGATAAAGCTATCTATTTCATTATGTATGAGTCAATTTTTTTTATTGGAGTTAAAATTAACGTAGATATATGACCGAACCTAACCAACCCTACCTAACCTAACCTAACCTATCTTTATAGGTTAGGTTAGGTTAGGTAGCAGAAAAAGTTAGGTTAGGTTAGGTTAGGTAGCAGAAAAAGTTAGGTTAGGTTAGGTTAGGTTAGGTAGGTTAGATAGTCGAAAAACAATTAATTCATGAAAACTTGGCTTATTAGGCAAATCGGGCCTTGCATAGTAGGCATAGAAGTGCGTTCTGGCTACTAGGTACGACATATATATATATATCTTCATATATATATATATATATATATATATATATATATATATATATATATATATATATATATATATATATATATATATATATATATATGAAGAGTGAAGGATTTCTCTAACCGGATGGGAGACAGCAAGGACGGTTTTGACCTTGGGAACGTTTATTACCAGAAAGAAAGGTACACTTTAGTGCACCTTTCTGAATTTAATTCATAATTAAATTAAAGCATCAGTAGTGTTTATACACCTTGCAGTGGAGCATACACCTGTCTTGGTGTATATTATATAGTCCAATGTGTGCGTGCGCGTGAGGGGGGGTGTGAGACGTGAGGTCACCTGGTGTAGGGAGGCACACTAGACGAGTGTGGCAAGAAGGGCCCAGAACCCGTCCTGCCTAGATGGGGTCTCGGGCCTACATCCTCCTCTTGCTTCACTTACTACAGTGACGAAACTGATGGGTCTTGCAACCCGCTCTACACACACACACCCGCTCACGCCTCCAGCCCTGCTCACCAACACACCTTCTATGCTCTCTATAACACACACATGTACCTTAACATGTGTACCATTTTGTCCTCTGTTTTTTTTACATATTTGTGATAAGTAGACTAAAAATGTCTCAGGACAGTGCCATTAGGCACCGAGCCACTCAATATCGATGCAAATAATTTCCCTATAGTTGATGGTAAACTAAATAAACGTTAATTAACCGGCAGAAATCTATCGCTCTCCTAAATAATGTGTATTATATTCTTTTCATAATTTTGGTACAGTGATTAACGAAAATGATTTGCTAAAATATGGTTGACGAGGGTTGACTAAACTATTCCTCACTTTTATTTTGATGACCTTGAAAGACAGTTCACTGACGACTTGTTGGGCTTTATCTTCACTATTTACCTCCTAACTCATTCCTAATATTTGTTAGTTTATTTAACGTGTTGTCTTCACTTCCTCGATAAGTTTGTTAAACTTGGAGCGGTTGAACAAGATGTTCTCTAGTAGAGACTAGAGATGTTCTCTAGTTTCCTTGTGTCGTTAAACACAAGGAAGCGCTTTGTGTATTAGTGAGTTTATTTAATGTATAATAATCTGTACCTACAAATATATCACTGTAATATACCGTTATGTATATTTTAAGAATAAGACTGCTATTATTATTATTATTATTTAAAATTTACACATATTCTTTATTTTCTGTTAAATCACATGACTGTTTACCAAGTTCCAGTTCTTCTAACCTTGGGTAGGTACGTCATGATAATTATTCTTGAATTTTTGTTTGCTTCTCCTGCCATTCACACTTCCTTTTTGCATTTCTTATATACACTTTTTAACATTTGTTGCTTGTTTGACAATATTAGTATTTTCTTGTTGATATTTTAATTTTTTAGAGAAGTTTCCCGCTCTACATTCTGTTATTAATTTACCAATGAGAGGGAAGAATAGGAAATTATCAGGAAAAAGCGCCAATCCATTACGAATCTATAGCACTGGGAAAGGGGTCAGAATAAGGATTTGGGATGGGACGGGGGGAGAGGAATGGTGCCCAACCACTTGAACGGTCGGGCGTTGAACGCCGACCTGCATGAAGTGAGACCGTCGCTTTGCCGTCCAGCCCAAGTGACTGGGCTTTCCAGTGAGATTTCCTCTATTTAGTCATTATTATTCCAACCCGTTCTTCTGATAGAACGTCGTATTTTGACGTATGTTTTAAATAAGGCCAAAAATGGCCGTACTAGATAATGGAAGAAGCTCTTCCCGGCTACACTGACTCTTCCCGGCTACACTGACTTCTTCTCACCTACACTGACTCTTTCCGCCCACACTGACGATCCTGACCCACGGTTGCCTGGTTCACCAACACTTACCGCCTCACCTCCTCTACAACAGCTCAGTAAACGCAGACTTCTGCTTGTTTTTCTTCTTCTCGGGCTTGAGGACTGAGCGTTGTGGGTAGCAGTTAGGAAGACGCCCAGGCCTAATGACCTGGTGTAGTTCACTGGCCTAATGACCTTGTTTACTGGCCTAATGACCTCGTTCACTGGCCTAATGACCTTGTTCACTGGCCTAATGACCTGGTGTAGTTCACTGGCCTAATGACCTTGTTTACTGGCCTAATGACCTCGTTCACTGGCCTAATGACCTTGTTCACTGGCCTAATGACCTGGTGTAGTTCACTGGCCTAATGACCTTGTTTACTGGCCTAATGACCTCGTTCACTGGCCTAATGACCTTGTTCACTGGCCTAATGACCTGGTGTAGTTCACTGGCCTAATGACCTTGTTCACTGGCCTACTGGCCTAATGACCTCGTTCACTGGCCTAATGACCTTGTTCACTGGCCTAATGACCTCGTTCACTGGCCTAATGACCTTGTTCACTGGCCTAATGACCTCGTTCACTGGCCTAATGACCTTGTTCACTGGCCTAATGACCTCGTTCACTGGCCTAATGACCTGGTGAAGTTCACTGGCCTAATGACCTTGTTCACTGGCCTAATGACCTTGTTCACTGGCCTAATGACCTCGTTCACTGGCCTAATGACCTGGTGAAGTTCACTGGCCAAATGACCTTGTTCACTGGCCTAATGACCTCGTTCACTGGCCTAATGACCTCGTTCACTGGCCTAATGACCTCGTTCACTGGCCTAATGACCTGGTGAAGTTCACTGGCCTAATGACCTGGTGTAGTTCAAGCATGAACAATGACCCTAGATGTTCAAGTAGAACATCTTGAACTTTAAGTGGAGTGGATTTATAATTGCAGTAATATTAAAAATACAGTATAATCCATTGTTTGGTCACTAATTGACATAGATGAATTAAAGTCAACCAATCAGGTTACCAATCAATCAATCAAATAGGTGACTATGTAGTCAACACATCAAATGACCTGTCAGTTAGACAAATCTTCAATCAAACGATCATACTGTCACTATCACACTGTCACACTGTCAGTTTCGGCCAATCAGTGAATATACCAACAAACGAATCAGTCACTCAATCAGCATGTCCACCCACGAATCCAATCAACAAAAGAGGTCGAGATAACAAGGTAATAATCTTTTCAAAACTCTTTCGTGACAGAACAGAATTTCCCAACGTCTTGTCAGAAGCGTGGAATTCCCCAACTTATTGGTGAACAAGTTGAACATGTTATTGTCGGCGCACCCACTTGTTCTAACGACCCGCCTTTGAAATGGTTTGAGTGTTGAGGTGGAGCCTGATGATTGGCGGGGAGGTTGACGAGATGGGGAAGGGTGGTGGGAAGGGAGGTGGGAAGGGAGGTGGGAAGGGAGGTGGGAAGGGTGGGAAGGTGGGAAGGGAAGTGGGAAGTGGGAGGGAGGTGGGAAGGGAAGTGGGAAGGGAGGTGGGAAGGGAGGTGGGAAGGGAGGTGGGAAGGGAAAGGGAAGTGGGAAGGGAAGTGGGAAGGGAGGTGGGAAGGGAGGTGGGAAGGGAAGTGGGAGGGAGGTGGGAAGGGGGGGAAGGGAGGTTGGGAAGGGAGGTGGGAAGGGAAGTGGGAAGGGAAGTGGGAAGGGAGGTGGGAAGGGAAGTGGGAAGGGAGGTGGGAAGGGAGGTGGGAAGGGAAGTGGGAAGGGAGGTGGGAAGGGAGGTGGGAAGGGAGGTGGGAAGGGGGGGTTAAACCAGGAGAGACTTGGAGCTCTCCCTGGTTCTTATTCTTCTATTCTTGAATCTCTTTTATTCTATTCTGTTTATTCACCTATTCTTGATGCATTCTTGATGCCAGGCTTGACCAGAGTGTGGCTGGTCTAGAGCATGTAGTGGTCTAGACAAGGCCTGGGAGTACCCATCGCATAGGTTCGAATCCTTCACATGACTCCTATTGATGTTCTCATTATTCCAGAACACATTTGTAAAGTTTATTGGGAGCTCTGGGAAGGGACAGTTCCTGAGCCTGCTTACATGAGTCACACCTCGTCTGCACTCACTGTACTCACATGCATTAAATTAACTCATGCTTGTGGCTTGATGACCCATGATAAGAAAACCCCATAGCATGGTTCACCAGGACCCAAGCAGGGGCCCCCACAGCATGGTTCACCAGGTCCCAAGCAGGGCCCCCCACAGCATGGTTCACCAGGTCCCAAGCAGGGTCCCCACAGCATGGTTCACCAGGACCCAAGCTGGGCCCCCACAGCATGGTTCACCAGGTCCCAAGCAGGGGCCCCCACAGCATGGTTCACCAGGTCACAAGCAGGGCCCCCCACAGCATGGTTCACCAGGTCCCAAGCTGGGCCCCCCACAGCATGGTTCACCAGGTCCCAAGCAGGGCCCCCACAGCATGGTTCACCAGGTCCCAAGCAGGGCCCCCCACAGCATGGTTCACCAGGTCCCAAGCTGGGCCCCCCACAGCATGGTTCACCAGGTCCCAAGCTGGGCCCCCACAGCATGGTTCACCAGGTCCCAAGCTGGGCCCCCCACAGCATGGTTCACCAGGTCCCAAGCAGGGCCCCCACAGCATGGTTCACCAGGTCCCAAGCTGGGCCCCCCACAGCATGGTTCACCAGGTCCCAAGCTGGGCCCCCACAGCATGGTTCACCAGGTCCCAAGCTGGGCCCCCACAGCATGGTTCACCAGGTCCCAAGCAGGGCCCCACAGCATGATTCACCAGGTCCCAAGCAGGGCCCCACAGCATGATTCACCAGGTCCCAAGCAGGGGCCCACAGCATGATTCACCAGGTCCCAAGCAGGGGCCCCCACAGCATGATTCACCAGGTCCCAAGCTGACTCTTCCCGGCTACACTGACTCTTCTCACCTACACTGACTCTTCTCACCTACACTGACTCTCCCCGCCCACACTGACGATCCTGACCCACGGTTGCCTGGTTCACCAACACTCACCGCCTCACCTCCTCTACAACAGCTCAGTAAACGCAGACTTCTGCTTGTTTTTCTTCTTCTCGGGCTTGAGGACTGAGCGTTGTGGGTAGCAGTTAGGAAGACGCCCAGGCCTAATGACCTGGTTAGTTCACTGGCCTAATGACCTTGTTCACTGGCCTAATGACCTTGTTCACTGGCCTAATGACCTTGTTCACTGGCCTAATGACCTCGTTCACTGGCCTAATGACCTTGTTTACTGGCCTAATGACCTCGTTCACTGGCCTAATGACCTGGTGTTCACTGGCCAAATGACCTCGTTCACTGGCCTAATGACCTTGTTCACTGGCCTAATGACCTCGTTCACTGGCCTAATGACCTTGTTCACTGGCCTAATGACCTGGTGTAGTTCACTGGCCTAATGACCTTGTTTACTGGCCTAATGACCTCGTTCACTGGCCTAATGACCTTGTTCACTGGCCTAATGACCTCGTTCACTGGCCTAATGACCTTGTTCACTGGCCTAATGACCTTGTTCACTGGCCTAATGACCTCGTTCACTGGCCTAATGACCTTGTTCACTGGCCTAATGACCTCGTTCACTGGCCTAATGACCTTGTTCACTGGCCTAATGACCTTGTTCACTGGCCTAATGACCTTGTTCACTGGCCTAATGACCTCGTTCACTGGCCTAATGACCTGGTGAAGTTCACTGGCCTAATGACCTTGTTCACTGGCCTAATGACCTTGTTCACTGGCCTAATGACCTCGTTCACTGGCCTAATGACCTGGTGAAGTTCACTGGCCAAATGACCTTGTTCACTGGCCTAATGACCTCGTTCACTGGCCTAATGACCTCGTTCACTGGCCTAATGACCTCGTTCACTGGCCTAATGACCTGGTGAAGTTCACTGGCCTAATGACCTGGTGTAGTTCAAGCATGAACAATGACCTAGATGTTCAAGTAGAACATCTTGAACTTTAAGTGGAGTGGATTTATAATTGCAGTAATATTAAAAATACAGTATAATCCATTGTTTGGTCACTAATTGACATAGATGAATTAAAGTCAACCAATCAGGTTACCAATCAATCAATCAAATAGGTGACTATGTAGTCAACACATCAAATGACCTGTCAGTTAGACAAATCTTCAATCAAACGATCATACTGTCACTATCACACTGTCACACTGTCAGTTTCGGCCAATCAGTGAATATACCAACAAACGAATCAGTCACTCAATCAGCATGTCCACCCACGACCCACATCCAATCAACAAAAGAGGTCGAGATAACAAGGTAATAATCTTTTCAAAACTCTTTCGTGACAGAACAGAATTTCCCAACGTCTTGTCAGAAGCGTGGAATTCCCCAACTTATTGGTGAACAAGTTGAACATGTTATTGTCGGCGCACCCACTTGTTCTAACGACCGGCCTTTGAAATGGTTTGAGTGTTGAGGTGGAGCCTGATGATTGGCGGGGAGGTTGACGAGATGGGGAAGGGTGGTGGGAAGGGAGGTGGGAAGGGAGGTGGGAAGGAAGGGAAGTGGGAAGGGAAGTGGGAAGGGAGGTGGGAAGGGAGGTGGGAAGGGAAGTGGGAAGGGAGGTGGGAAGGGAAGTGGGAAGGGAGGTGGGAAGGGAGGTGGGAAGGGAGGTGGGAAGGGAGGGAGGTGGGAAGGGAAGTGGGAAGGGAGGTGGGAAGGGAGGTGGGAAGGGAAGTGGGAAGGGAGGTGGGAAGGGAAGTGGGAAGGGAGGTGGGAAGGGAGGTGGGAAGGGAGGTGGGAAGGGAGGTGGGAAGGGAGGTGGGAAGGGAGGTGGGAAGGGAAGTGGGAAGGGAGGTGGGAAGGGAGGTGGGAAGGGAAGTGGGAAGGGAGGTGGGAAGGGAGGTGGGAAGGGAGGTGGGAAGGGGGGGTTAAACCAGGAGAGACTTGGAGCTCTCCCTGGTTCTTATTCTTCTATTCTTGAATCTATTTTATTCTATTATGTTTATTCACCTATTCTTGATGCATTCTTGATGCCAGGCTAGACCAGAGTGTGGCTGGTCTAGAGCATGTAGTGGTCTAGACAAGGCCTGGGAGTACCCATCGCATAGGTTCGAATCCTTCACATGACTCCTATTGATGTTCTCATTATTCCAGAACACATTTGTAAAGTTTATTGGGAGCTCTGGGAAGGGACAGTTCCAGAGCCAGCTTACATGAGTCACACCTCGTCTGCACTCACTGTACTCACATGCATTAAATGGTTCAACTCATGCACCAGGACCCAAGCTGTGGCACCAGGTCCCAAGACCCATGCATAAGAAAACCCCATAGCATGGTTCACCAGGACCCAAGCAGGGCAGGGCCCCCACAGCATGGTTCACCAGGTCCCAAGCAGGGCCCCCCACAGCATGGTTCACCAGGTCCCAAGCAGGGGCCCCCACAGCATGGTTCACCAGGTCCCAAGCACACCAAAAGGACCCTCAACACGCATGTTCACCAGGTTGACCCAAGGTCCCAAGCTGGGCCCCCACAGCATGCAGAATCATCAGGTCCCAAGCTCATTACAGCATGGTTCACCAGGTCCCAAGCAGGGCCCCACAGCATGATTCACCAGGTCCCAAGCAGGGCCCCCCAACACTTATTCACCAGGTATAACCAGGTCCCAGCAGGGGCCAAGAGTGATGATTCACCAGGTCCCAAGCAGGGCCCCCACAGCATGGCTCACCAGGTCCCAAGCAGGGCTCCCCACAGCATGGCTCACCAGGTCCCAAGCAGGGCCCCCCACAGCATGGCTCACCAGGTCCCAAGCACACCAAAAGACCCTCAACACGGTTCGTTGACCCAAAACACGGCAGAATCATCAGCCCAACTCATAAAAAGACGGTTCACATTATGTGATATACCAAAGGATTTTTGCACAGTCCAACAGCCAAATTTATACTTAACACAATGCAAGTTGTGGCTTGAATAATAGTGGACGTCCCTGACCCGAGCGACCCTGAGTCTCCCTGACATTCAATGGGACTCGACCTCCTTGATCTCTCCGTTAGCCTGACCTCCTCAGGCTTCCTGTCCCCGACATTGGGAAACCATCGTTTTTTTTTATAAATATACTAGGAGGGGGAACTCGGCGGTGCTCGGGGACCCCCATTTCGTCATTTTCTGTCTCTATCTCGACCCCTCACCCATTTCAACATTCTTTTTTTTTTGTTTCTCTGTTCCTATATCCTTCCCCGTCTTCTTTTCTTTCCTCTTTCTTCTTCCTTGTCTCCCTTATTTATCCAATTTTCGCCCAATCTCCAGTATTTCCCTAGACCCCCTTTCTCTCTTTCCTCTATCCACGAAGAGACATTTTATTTTATTTACAAACTTATTTGTAAATGTAATTTATATGGATGGGGTACCATTCTGCACCCGCGTCTCTTCCACCTCTTTACCCTACCTACCTCTTGACCTCTCCCCTCCTCCCCATCCCAGTGGACACCCCATCGTCCTCCCCTCTCCCCCCTGCTTCCTTCCTTCCTCAAGAAGCACTGAAAAAACCTGTACGGATCTTGCAGATGTTTTTCCTTTTTTTTTCCTTTGGCTTTCCGACTTCATTTTGCTTTTTCATTTATTTTCAGTAACAACTTCACGAAAATCACACGACATATTTCACGCGTGACTCCATGAAAATGGCTTGGGGGCTTTATAATTGCTAATTTTTATTAGGACATTTAACTTAGGCCTTTCCCGACCAACCTATGTTTTTCCCGGACCCCAGACCATTTACCCTGCAAATTTGGTTGAGGCTAGCCCAAGCATCTGGCTTCCAACTTTAGAAAGACAGACAGACATACGACAAACAGACAAGCACATTCTCTCGTATAGTATAGAATGAACAAATCCACAAGGGCCGTGACGAGGATTCGAACCTGCGTCCGAAAGCATCCCAGACGCTGCCTTAATCGCCTGAGCTACGACATTCATTTGATGCATCACGCAATTGTGATTTCTGTGTGTAGTATAGAATGTCTGTCTGTCTGTCCAAGGTTGGAGGGCAGACGCTTGGAGCTAGTCTTACCCAACTTTGAAGGGAAAGTGGTCTGGGCTATGGGACGGACATAGGTTGGTCATTGTTAGCCTAAATTATATACTTTAAGAAATATCAGCTGTAATCTGCCCGACCCCCATGCATGATTTTCAGAAAGTTTGTAATGAAATCGCGGATGTACTTTCTGAAGAGTTTACCGCGCATTTTCGTGATTTACTCTAAAACATTGAACAATTCATTCGGAGTACAGTGATGAAGTGAGTATTGAAGATGGTTATGGGTAGAGGAGGGACATGGCGAAAATGAGGGTAGATGGGGATAGAGGGGGGAGAGGGAGAATATGAGGAATATGAGGGGAGAGGAAGAACAGGGGGAAAGTTGAGAGGGAAATGGGGGATGATGAGGGAAGAGTCTGGTATTTAGAGATATTGGGAATTAGTATCACTTGCCAATCCAAGCAAAGAAGAGAAGGCAATGGGGGGACTTTACTCCCCCTTAACCCGCCTATGACCATCCCCGGTCAAAGACCCGTCACCCTACAAAGTTTGGCGACCCTAACCTCAAGCTTTTGTTCTCAGGCAGGAGGGGAATTATTAATAAATAAATCAAACGCGAAGGGCAACTGTAAGGACAAAAAAAATGAAAAGAGGTCGTCCCAAGAGGGTTAAATTGTCACTCTCAGTCAACTAATCATAACAATGGTTTACACAAAGGGAACAAAGAGGTTGGAACAAAAGTGAGTGTATCGTGTTCCAGAGACGCAGCCTCCCGGATGTAACCGGAGATCTCTCGGGTACACATCTCCCAGCAACAAATATTTTGGCCAAATAAACCCTAAAATATTTACCCGAACCTGACATTTGCAACGATATATATGTACCATAAATCCCAGAGCAAGGAAACGAATGACGATAAAGTTTCTCGTCTTGAGACAAGAAGATTCTTCTGTTTTCTTAATCTGTGGTTCAGAGTATACCCTTGTTACCCCCACCGGTTTACCGTGATCAGCCCAACTGGTTTACAAGTATCAAACCCTAAAAGGGCGATATGCCTTCCAGACTCACTCAGTCCGCTGTGGTGAGTCCGGACCTCTGGCCGGGATCATCCAGGAACACTTACAGCCGCTGTACTGTGAGTGGACACGCGTACTCGAGCTACTACTTCCTCCATAAAAGAAAAATATAGTTTATCTCCGTCCTGGACCAGGTCGAGTCGGCCCCGTGGGAAGTGACGTAACGGTAGGGGTGAGGGGCCGGTAGAGATCAGGTCGATGTTCCATAAGTTCCTTCAACCTGGCCAATTGCAATCAACTCATAAACATATGAGGGTAGTCAATCTATTTACAAAATATTTATCTTGCAGAGCAAAATAATATTACTTTACATTTTGTCAATTTCTTAAAGAATAGTTCTTGCCTGTTTCCTGTACATAGATTTCTACAACTTTAATTCTATTCAATTTTCTGGTGACAATAGAGATTTGGACGTAACCGAAGTACGTCATATCAAACACTTCCATCCAAAAATCAGCAGCCAGGGGCGTCCTATCGTCCACAACATCAAGACATAACTTCTTCACTTGAGATAGAAGTTGAGAACTTAACTCTTCAACGTTATTTTCACAGTTTTTATTAAAGCCTGACGCTAAGAGACGCGTTTCACTGACCCTTGTCAGCATCTTCAAGGACAGAGTTCGAATAGCTACAGGTTTTTTGTGCAAATTGATATATAGCCTAGGATGAGGTGAAGGTGAAGGTAATGGCCCAATAGACCCATTGCAGCTTACAAATGTTTCCACTCTGGCTGAAACACTTTACATTATGTTTCGTCGCCATCTCGAAGCTCTCAAAGATGTCAGAGTGCAACTTGGCAACACCAAATTACTCTCTGCCATCTGCACAACTTACAAGAAAACCCAACACTTTAAAATCCTCGAAAAATTCCCATCGACAAAATCCCCATTGATCAAGAGAGCTAGCGTGGATAGCGTGCTGAGGGCGGACACACCTCGCTCCTGGTAATGACCCTAACAGAAATTTAATGGGAAACTCAGCTTGACAGCCTTAAGCGCAGGTGACGCGCGTGCGCCTGTCAAAGACTGCGCACCTGGTGACAGCTCCTTCACTTGAACTGCACAGTCGGAGGCAACAGGGCCGCCTTCTCAAGCCACATATATACATTATGTAGACACACAGCACCTGGAGGGACTTACATGTATTGCTGCGTCACATTAGTCAGATATAATATACATATATTATAGCATATTTACCGGCAACAGTAGGCCTACCTCAGCGGCAACAGTAGGCCTACCTCAACGGCAACAATGAAGACCTCTCTGATGGTGCTTCATGCTCTGGTGCTCGTGTGTCTGTCTCTTGAAGTCGTTTGTGTGGTGGCAGGTACGTATAGCACGTGTCTGTGTAGTGGCAGGTACGTAGGGTACGTGTCTGTGTGGTGGCAGGTACGTAGGGTACGTGTCTGTGTGTTGGCAGGTACGTATAGCACGTGTCTGTAGAGGCAGGTACGTATAGCACGTGTCTGTAGAGGCAGGTACGTATAGCACGTGTCTGTGTAGTGGCAGGTACGTAAAGCACGTGTCTGTGTAGTGGCAGGTACGTATAGCACGTGTCTGTGTAGTGGCAGGTACGTATAGCACGTGTCTGTGTGGTGGCAGGTACGTATAGCACGTGTCTGTGTAGTGACAGGTACGTATAGCACGTGTCTGTGTAGTGGCAGGTACGTATAGCACGTGTCTGTGTAGTGGCAGGTACGTATAGCACGTGTCTGTGTGGTGGCAGGTACGTATAGCACGTGTCTGTGTGGTGGCAGGTACGTATAGCACGTGTCTGTGTGGTGGCAGGTACGTATAGCACGTGTCTGTGTGGTGGCAGGTACGTATAGCACGTGTCTGTGTGGTGGCAGGTACGTATAGCACGTGTCTGTGTGGTGGCAGGTACGTATAGCACGTGTCTGTGTAGTGGCAGGAACGTAGGGCACGTGTCTGTGTAGTGGCAGGTACGTATAGCACGTGTCGGGCAGAGTGACCAGGTATACATGTACAGCAGCTGTATTTCTCACTGCGTATACACTCAGTTTACTTCAATACACTAACAGCTTACTTCAGGAGTTTGAGAGTTTACTTCAATACTCAAGAGTATATCTTAATACACAGAGAGTTTACTCTTAGAGTTTGCCTCAATACACTGCAAGTTTACTTTAAAACACTCAGAGAGTTTACTAAAGGTGTAAACTCTTTAAAAAAAGAGTTTACACCTCTTTAAACTTTACTGAAGGTGTAAAGGTAAAGAGTTTAAAATAGGTGTATTGAGTTTACCTCAATACACCTAGTTTAAATCAACACACTGAATTTGCTTTAATACAGAGAGAGTTTGTTTCAATACACTAAGAGTTTACTTCAATCCTAAGCATTGTATAGCATTAAATTATTATTCTGAAAAAGATAAGAGTGTAGCCTAATGATCCTGGCAGTCGATTAGCCTAACCTTAAATAACCTGTTTGAGTTGCTCTGAAAAAGTGGGTGACCCAGACGAACCGTTGAGTATAGGATTCCTGAGCAACTCAAGGCAACGAGTAAATGGATCCTGAGTTACGCAAGGAGATGAGTAAGTTGTTCCTGAGTTACCCAAGGAGATGAGTAAGTTGTTCCTGAGCTGTGCAAGGCAATGCGAAATTTATTCTTGAACCCCTCAAAGAGATGAGCAAATGATTCCTGAGCAACACAAGGAGACGAGTAAATGGTTCCTGAGCAACACAAGGAGACGAGTAAATAGTTTCTAAGTTACACAAGACAACAAGGAATTTGTTCCTAAGCCGCACAAGGCGACGAGAAAAGGTTTCCTATCTATACAAGGCAGATACTACTCTAATTTGTCAACATTCGTCTCTGATTTCAGCACCATACTTAACACTCGAGGATGCTTGCTTGTGTCGGGTAATACTGTGTCCAACTTATACAGTGTGAGTTAATATGTTGATATATTGTGTGTGAGGTTTGAAGGCCTGTAGACTGTCAGCATCACTTGGCTCGTTTTCTGTAATAACATTGAGACTTCGAGTGGTGGGTAGTTGTCATAGAACTACTCAAGTTGTACACAGACCAACTAGTTGGCATGTAGCAGTGAGACTATTAACCCCGCGTGGTTAGAGGTCGTGGCGGTTATCTTCCTTATCTTGAGGCTTTATTGTCCCCGTGGCCCGGTCCTCGACCAGGCCTCCACCCCCAGGAAGCAGCCAGTGATAGCTGACTAACACCCAGGTACCTATTTTACTGCTAGGTAACAGGGGGCATAGGGTGAAAGAAACTCTGCCCATTGTTTCTCGCCGGCGCCCGGGATCGAACCCGGGACCACAGGATCACAAGTCCAGCGTGCTGTCCGCTCGGCCGACCGGCTCCCCGGCGGTAGCACCATTGGGTAGGACAAATTTCTCCTTAAGTTTATCAAAGACATTGTCGATGCTCAATATCCTTAAATTAATAATCCATTGCTGAAATGGAAGCTGAATGTAAGGCTTATAGACGTCTTCCTTAAGAGTTTATAATGTACAACCTGTGAACTAGGGACTCGGGGGATGCCTTAAATATTAAGGAACGGAAGGAAGCGTTGTTGAATGCATAACTAGTCATGGGGACCCTTGAATTGAAAATACAACCATTTAATCATTGATGTATTGAGTGGACACGGATATTTTGCGTGTATTGTTCGGACATAGGTACGTGCCCTCCGTGTTCCGCTTGATCAGCCCGTCCGACACTAATATGCCCTGGGGGAGTAGTACTGGTTGGGCCTCCCTGCACGCTCGACGGTGCGGTTATTAAAACTTGTCAGAAGAAATTATCGACCAGGAAACGTAGATCTTTTAGAATGTTCAAACCCGTGATCGTTAACGGTAACGTGACGCATTCAGTGTTTATGTGTTATGGTATTACTTAACTCACACACACACACACACATATAAGATATCGCCGTGGATGCTAATAGAGGTGGCTGATACATCTACGCCTGAATCGTCTCGTGTCTGTGAATACCAGTCACCATTAAGACTACAAATATCCCTCAGCGTTACTCTCAACACCAAGACGACGTACCACTGCGTCTTGCGCCGTGTGACTCACTTAAGTAGTGCCTTGAGCTGAGGAAAACATGAAGAAAATTACATTTCATTGTTGTTTTGTTGTCAGGTTTGGACTTTATAATGAAGCTGTGGAGACGGAGGCGTAGCCTCGGGTTGTGAAAAGGTGTGTCTGTACGCCGGGGTCATCACACCACGCAGTTCTGTATATGGGGGTCACTACACCACGCAGTTCTGTATATGGGGGTCAACACACCACGCAGTTCTGTATATGGGGGTCACAACACCACGCGGCTACGATCTGCTGATTTTATGATTTAAGAACAGGCTCGGTGACGCAGATCCTACGACAGTCTGCCCTAAAAAAAATATAAGAGACCCTTTTTCAGTGTTGTAAAATATATTACAGTAACAAATGCTCACCCATCCTCCGAATTGACAATACGGTTTAATACTAAGAACATTTCTTTACTGTCATACATAGTACATAATTGCACTTATTGGAGCTGTTACATTTACCACCTCATTTATTCTCATTAATTTCTGTAAAGAAACTCAGATATTTAGAATGAAATTTCCAAGCTCAAATAGTTTTATTGTCAAGTATTAAATATCAAGCATTTCTTTTTCAGTTTTATTAAATAATAGAGATTTTATACAAACTTTGAAAATATCCTAAGTTACTTTAATTTTTGTTATATATTTTTGTTTTGTTTTATTAGTTTTATAAAACTGTAATATCAATATAGCTATAGGTTAAGTACTAATTGTAATTAAGAAGCAATAAAATGCTTATCTTCAAACACTAAGAAGGTTAGGTTAGGTTGTAGTTTTCTATTCAGCTTTTCAGGTAAACTCAAATATTCACAATATATTTGACTACGGTTTAATACTAAGTGAAAATAAGTACAATTCCTGACTGCTATGAATAGTACATAATTGCACTTACTTGTGCTGTTACATTTACCACCCCTTTTTTGGAGGACGGGCTGTACATAGTTATTCTTTCCCTGCTGAATGTCCATGAACTATCATTCTTTCACCAGAGGCATTTCAGTTATTTAATGCTTTGATGGTGTGGAATTTAACGCATTTTATAGTTTATACATGATATATATTATATTATATCTCCCTTTTAAATCAGCCCTTCCTCTCGAATTGTCACAACGGACAGAAAATAATGTACCAAATTACCTGAACTTAGCCTAACTTAACCGACGAGCTACGCATAGAAAATGTGAACTTTTGCGAGTCAATATGATTTATAGTACATCATATTTTGTCCGCTGTGGTATTTTGATGTCAAAATACGATGTATTATTTGACCGGACAGGTTGTTTAAATACCTTTACCCCCTCCCCTTCCTCATTCTTGTAAATTGACCACATGTTGACCTTGTCCGCAGCAGAGAGCCCCGGGATGTCCTCAGTAGATCAAAACGTGAAGGTGTTCGGCCTCCAAGCTAATATATGGACTCCTTCACGTAACGATATCTGCATTAGGTTCGACCTCGGGAAAAAGGTGAGTAACATTTATTTGATATATTTATGACAGGAGCGTGGTGACTAGGCTAATAGAGTGAGACCGCAACCGGTATCACCCTGGAAGAGGGTATAGATCTGGACCCAGATTCACTAAGCAGTTACACAAGCACTTACGAACCTGTACATCTTTCCACAATCTTTGGCGGCAGGGCTTTGCTTACATTTACTAAACAGTTAATGTGCTCCGAAGCACCACCAGGAGGCTGTTTATAACAATAACAACAGTTGATTGGGAAGTTTTCATGCTTGTAAACCGTTTAATAAATGTAACCAAAGCCGTCAAAGATTGAGGAAAAATGTACACGTTCGTAAATATTTGCGTAACTACTTTATGAATCCGGGTCTAGGGTTTTAGTGGTTAGAAGACAAACAGACACACACACAATCATACATACAAGATACATAGGAGTATTGATACAGGCAGATGGTTCAGAGCAGTCTGTAATATAAGCATTAGCTGGTATGGAAGCTGGACACAAAGATGAACCACTTCCTCAGTGTGAGGGTAGACAGCGAACGGAATGAACTAGAAGAGCATATATTTAATGAGAACAACATTCACATTTTAATAAGTAGGTACAATAAAAGTTACCGGGTAAAGCGAGTCATTCCATTAGTAGACGGACATATCGGATAGAAAGGCGGGACAAAAAGAGCTAAAGGTCGACCCTGCAAAACCTACTTATATAAGAAAAATAAAAAAGTCAGCCATTAATCACATTAGAACAGGGCGGGTGATTCTTCATCGCGGCCACTGCGGACTCGGCGGACTCTTCTCTCCCAAGAAGTAATGCTTATATCGCCACTCATCTTCCTCAGGGTCTGGAAGACACGAAGGAGCTGAGTGTGTGCTACCGCGCCAAGGCGTCCAGGCTACAAGCCACCGAGGTCTACATCTCTTTCTCCGTGTCTAAAGATGACGTTGACGCTCTGGTTATTAGTAAGTCACTAGGAGATGCTGCTATTGTCGAGTATTTACATACTATAAACAACATTCTCAAAGAGCTAACGAAGATAGTCCTGATGTAATATATATATATATTTCGGAGATATATTTTCCTCTTGGAAAATTTCAATCTTATAATGAACAGTATAAGAGAAACGATGAACATTTTCTTCAAATTTATTTAAAACGGACGTTTCGAAGTACACACTCCATCGTGATGTTCTATGCGTGGGGAATTCATCACTGAGCTTGAAGCATGGTATCTGTGAACATAAGGTGTATCTCTTTCGGCACAGGTTTGTCCCTTAGGCAAGTTGCAGATTCTGCAATTAGGGAATACTGTCAAGAATCAGTGTTCCGAAACGTCTGTTTTAAATAAATTTGAAGAAAACGTATATCTTCTCTCTTAAAGTACTGTCCCTAATTTGCAGGCGATGAGTCACAATAACGTGGCTAAAGTATGTTGACCAGACCACACACTAGAAGGTGAAGGGACGACGACGTTTCGGTCCGTCTTCTCAAATCGATGATACTTGAGAATGGTCCAGGACGGACCGAAACGTCGTCGTCCCTTCACCTTCTAGTGTGTGGTCTGGTCAACTATTCCTAATTTATGTGTTTTAATGTGCTATCAGTCCGCTATCATGACTTAACACGCGTCAGATGTGGACTGGTTTTGTCTCGCCTAAAGCGTTCGAGGCAGCCAACTCAACATATCAAGGCCGACGCCCATTGGTATGATGGATCATTAATATTACTGCGTTTTCAGATTCACTAAAGCCAGTGCAGGATTTTGACGTTATGGTCAATACTGTTGACGCTATAGACAAGCGTCAATTCAAGTGTGAGGACAGGTTAATACACACTGTAACATTATTTTGTTTTTTCTTGGGTAGTAGTATTTTATAATTACTTAATGCCTAAAAAGTAGAGAAAATGGCTATTATTCTTTGCTTTTGTAACCAGCACATTGATATTTTTAAATTTGATAATTTTAAATTGTTATCAACGTACTGGTTACATTGATAACAATTTACATTGTTATCAATGTAACCAGTAAATTGATAATTTTTAAAGTAAAAAAATGAATCAAAATTAACATGTATTTATAATAAAGTTAAACAAAAATGACCACAGATTTAGAAGTGAGTAGTAAATCACTTTCACAAATCAGCCAGAAATGTATTGTCCCATTATGCTATCGCTATACTGTCCTTGGTATTTTGTCCTTGGTATGTCATACTGTGGTGAAAGTCCAGTGTGAGCTAATGGAAGTGGTCTCCTTGCTGCTCTGAGTACGCTCCCATCTTCTCCTTGATTTGATCAAGAAAAACATGATACATATGAACTTTGAGGGACATCCTGCAAATTGTGATTTTGCAAATTTGCAAATTGTAAAATACGACATTGTGCCGTAGTTCTTCACCAGAGTGTCTTCCACCTCACAATAGTTCTCCACCTTGTGATTGCCCAGGAAGCTCCGAACCACTGCAACAAAGCTGTTCCAAGCCACCTTTCAGCTTCCTAGTGAGCTTCTTGGGGAATTCTTTACACTCCACACTCTTCTTCACCTGTGGTCCGGTGGAGACACCAGCTTTGACCCTTTGCCTCAGACAACTTAGGGAAGAAGTCTGGAATGTACATGAAGGCGGCCAACTCCTTCTCTAGAGCTGTTACAGATTGTTTCATAAGGCCCAGTGTGATGTGTAATGGTGGCATCAGCACCTTCCAGGGGTCTACAGTGGCTCCCACTTGACGTTGTTCTTCCACACAAATATCTCGGTCAGTTTGGTGTCCCTCATGTCCCAAAGACTTGGTAAAACCGCCTTGGAGAACGGTGGCCAGGAAGGACACCGTTCTGAAGTCTCCCATGACTTCACAGACGTGTTCCTCGTAACTCAAGGCGTCCAGCAAAGGTATTGTGCTCTTGTACTCTTCTCTCAGGAGAAGAGACGGAAGAAGTTCTAGAAGTACTTAAGTTTACTGAGCTGAATCTATCTGGAACGTTCTGGAAAATAGGTAATTTGAAAATATCACTGTTATGGTCACAGAAGCAAAGTTTGTGGGGAAAAATAGCCATCTTCTATACTTTGGAAACATAATCTTTAAACAATTAATAAACAACACTTACTACCCAGTAAAAAAATTGTTACACAGTGGATAGGAGTTTGAGATTATATGTATACCTTACATAGATTTTTTATAACTGCATATCAAAAGATTGTGTTGTCTGTAACATCAGTCTGAAACTAGCAAATACTAAAGAACGTGTCTCATTATCATTTACTGGAGTAATAATTTCCCCCAGTAAAATTATTTTAATGATAGTTAAAAACATTTTTGTCATATTTTATGTGCTTAAATAATTCATACTAATAACACAATAAACCAAAATGCCCTTTTTGGTGCTACATGGGACTGATTACATGGGACTGGTTACATGGGACTAGTTACATGGGGACTGATTACATGGGACTAGTTACATGGGGACTGGTTACATGGGACTGGTTACATGGGACTTAATCTCACCATCCTCCAGCACGCACAGGCTCCAAGCTGAAGGTGTACATCCATAACGTGCAGCAGTCGGGCCTCTCCGCCCTTCACACCGACCTGGTGCTCCACCGCTGGGAGCATCACTGCTATGTCTTCTCTCACGGACACTCCCGAGTCTTCATCAACGGCCACGAGCGAGCTAGTGGACCTCTCCTTGTGAAAGATGCTTTGTTACCCCTTAACAGCACGCTCTGTCTCGGTATGGAACAAGATTCTGTCGGCGGTGGCTTCGACAAGACGCAGATCTTCCGCGGGTACATGGCTCAGGTCAACATCTGGAACCGGAAAATAAGCGACCAGGATGTCATGGACATCGCCTCGTGCAAAATGTATGGCGAAGGGAACGTCTTTTCGTCAGATGTGGACATTGTGGAGGAGGTGGGAACGACTCGCGATGTTGTGCCGCTGGCTAAACTCTGTGAGCCCGAGAGTGATTTTTTTGTCATCCCAATGATGTTCAGCATTTACGAAGGGAGACAGGAATGCTACAGACTTGGGTATGGATTATATGCACCAGAATCACCGCAAAAGAATAAGGAAATGTACAACGACTCTCTACAGTTTCTGGACACCTGTACAAACACTTACCACATGTGGATTGGTGTGTCAGATGAGAAGGAAGAAGGAGTTTGGCGAAGGGACTCTGACAAAGCAGTCATGAGGAATCTCTCATGGAAGCTGGGTCAACCTGATGGAATGGCAAAACAAAACTGTGTATACATGTCAGTGTTTGATGGTCTGTGGAGTGACGAAGCTTGTGATCTTAACGTCCTTGCGTGCATCTCCTGCACGAAGAGACAGAATCCGCCGCTCCGTCTCAGAGGGATGTGCTTCGAGATGGAAGCCGAGACTGCTTTCGAAGTCTTAGGATATCAAAATAAGAGGCCATACTTTCATGGATTCTATGGTTTAATTATTTTCATGACCATTCCAGGATTGTGGGTGCTGTATAATACAGATACAAATACAACATTAGCCACTCTGGATTTGAATTCAGTCAATGATTTTCCCATAGGACACAGAACTTGGATCCTTCAAAATCCGGTGTGTGATCTTCCCGAAAACTCTAAACTTGAACTAAGTCTCTCATCCTGTCATGACTCAGAGTTTACATGCGATAATGGAGACTGCATAAGCAAAGATCTTCGATGCAATTCCAGAGACGACTGTTCCGATTTCTCTGATGAGGATAACTGCCACATTCTGTCGAAGCCAGAAAACTATCGTTCAGGTAGACCTCCGGTCTCACAGAATATGGGGAAACCTGTACGGTTTTCGTCCAAGATTCAAGTTCTTCGCTTTACGAACATTAACGATGTCAAGAGAATAGTCAGTCTTGAACTGAAATTGAAAGTAGAATGGAAAGATTCAAGACTCAAGTACCTCAACCTGAAGGACTCGATGGAATGGAACACTCTCACACAGCGAGAAATAGACAGCATATGGAGACCTGTCTTCGAGTTCCCGAACGTTCAAGACGGCCAAGTGAGGATACTGAAGGAAAGGCTGTATGTGAAGAAGGGTGGAAATCCTCTTCCCCCCGAATTCAACGATGTCAAAATGGGTAAGAATCAATTGTCGCTCTTAGCTAATGCAGATAATAGTAATTAATATGTATTGCTCAGTAAGAGCTCATAAACAGAATAATTATCTTTTCCCCAGATTTGGTGTACTCAGGAGAGTCCAATTCTCTTGTTCAGGAACAACATTACAGGTTAGTAATGGCAGCGCTTTCATACAGATAATGGCAAATCGAATAAAAACGTAAGAAACATTGACACATCCTTGGAGTCACTGAGGACCTCAAGGGTGTGGTGTTGAGGTCATTGAGGACTCCATGATGTGTTGAGGACACCATGGGTGTAGTTTTGGTATCTCTTAGTACTTCAGGGTATACCAAATTATTATTGATATAGCAACCAACTAATATCGAGGTCACTCAAATCACTGACTAGCATAGCTGTTATAAATACTTGTTGATATAAATTGCTAACAGTGTATTCACTTGGACCATTGAAGCCTCGAATCGCGGAACACAAAAAGATCAGTCCACAGTCCTACCAACTGAACTATCATCGCCCACAATAAGAAAGAATCCCAGAGACACTCATCTGGGATCGATCTGAAACTTTAAGCCTGCCCTTGGGGGGAGGGGGGGGGGACACTTTGACATGAAGGTGTTAGGTGATCCACGTCCTATTCTACTGGTCGTTCCTTATTGTGGGTGCTGGTGGCTCAGTTGGTAGGGCGGTGGACTGCTGCTTCTGTGGTCCGCGGCTCAGAGCGCTAGTGGTCCAAGCGAATGAAATATTCTGATTAAACGTCAAGTGAACTTCTTAGAGTCAATCTGACACACAGGCTCTTGCGTTACATCATCGATGTTCAAGCTGATTGGCTGATATTTCACTTCTCAACCAATCACAGCTCGCTGTAATATCATGTGTCTCTGTTGGCTTAAGAAAGTCACCTGAGGCAATGACACGAGTGACGTCAAAGTCTCATTTATCACCATCTTTTCTCTGCTTAGAAAAATAAATTTGTATACACTGGAAATAAATTACATATTTCATTGAATTATACTTAAATAAAAATATAATATTCCCTAACATTTACATATGGTAGGAAGTGTTCGTGTATGGCTCTCACAGGAGCAGAATATTGTCGTCTAAACTACTCCCCTCATAACACTACGTAACATCCCGCAACTTTTCCCCTCTGTCTGGTTACTGCATGAACCCTCCACTGTGTATCTCCACAGTGGGACCTTCTCCTGCCACTTCGAACTCTTCTATTACCCGTTCGACAAGCAGAAGTGTTCAGTGCACATTCAGCTCTCCTCGATCATACAGGACGCCGTCTTTACACATTCGGACTCGGTGGTGGAATATTTGGGTTTCGAGGAACTGCCTTTATACATCGTCAACAGGTTCACGTCAGCAGCAACACAACGACAGGAAGACCAGACGCGATTCAGTGTCCTGAAGGTAAGTCCTTCAGGCATATCTATCCATCGATTACTCTTCTGGGAGAGCTGCAGGATCTATCAGGCTGGACTAAATCCATATGAATGAATGAATTAGTCCGTCCAAAAGTTAGGCTACAAGCAGAGGCGTGATTCCAAGTAAAGGCATTGAAAGCAAGGGCTAGGCTTTCGTCAGGGTTTAACACTGTGTTAATTAGGAGGGTCGTTTGTCACTCAGATATTCATTATACACAATAGAGGCAAAAGCGCCATGGTATCTTGTCAGGGGAAAACCTTCAATAATTATCATGTCGCCTGTGTCGTCTCGGTATTCCTAGCATGTCGTCATAGAGCATAGAGTTCATGACCGCAGTGACAGATCAGAGCAGCGAGTTCTATCGGTATTCCCTCCGTCATGTGACTCCTCCACCGCTCTACAATATTGTTGACAGGATGCTCACATCCTGTCTAGATAACAGACAGTTGTTTACAATGCCTGAAATAGGAATTTCAAGAAGTCTTTTAGATGGGAATATAAGATAAGACTCCTAGGTAACACAAATAAAATAACACTCCCATTCCATCACCACCAGATGACATCAGGTGGTGGTATCTAGCTCATACCGTCCTGTTCCCCTCATGGTGGTGGTACCTATAGTGGCTCACGATCCCCTTGTTGTGACAACGCTGAAAGTCTCCATTCTAATCCAATATTTTCACCGCAGATGGAGTTCGAGTTGCACCGACGGTGGACAGTGATCATGATGAACCTGTACCTGCCCACCAACCTGCTCCTGGCTGCAGGCTACGCCACTCTTTTCCTCAATGTGGCTGACCAAGGGGTGAGCAAAAGTTGATTAAAAAATATTAGGAACTGCAGAGTAGCACAGAGAGGTGTATACCGCTTCTCGTTATTCTGTGTTATTGAGTTAATTTTTCAGCATACCAGCCGTAGTTTTAGTGTTGGCGTAGTTTAATGGGTAAAGTATATTAGTGGGGGAAGTATATTAAAATGTACATATGACCTTTACGGCCAGCGGGGATGTATACCTGTCCAAGTCACCTTCTTCCTCCCTACTGGGTGACAGTAGGTATACTAGACCAACTCTCCCCTCCACAGGAGCGGATGGACCTGACTCTGACCTCCTTGCTAGTGCTGTACACCCTCTTCAACAACACCTCCAGCTTCATCCCCGTCACCGCCTACGTCAAGATGGTTGACGTGTGGTTCGTCTTCTGCATCCTCCTGATCTTCTGCATCATCGTCTGCCACACGCTGGCCAAGCCGGACCTCGACAAAGTTCACAACCTCACGACCTCGTCTCCTCGACGCCTCAAGCTCCTAGACCAGGTTCCTCCCGAATATTTCCTGAAGATTATGAGACGATACTTAGTGCCTTCTTTCGCTCTTGGTTTCAGCATCATCTTCTGGGCGCTGCTCCTCGGCTCCTTAGCTTCATAAACTTGACACTGGCACAGAAAAACATCTTTCGAAAGTATTGAAAATGATTGTAATAATAATGGGGGGAAAAATTTGGCAGCACGTAAATTCTCATTAAGGTAATGATGAACGTTGATGCAACTTGCTGGAAACATTAGCATCGAGCGCGTGTTTATGTATATTAGTCTGAGTCTCACCCCGATATACAGGTTATATTCTCTACTACGTCTCTACTACGTCGTGTTCTCTGAACTCCACTATTAGAATTGCTTAATACGAGTTATGTCACTGGGCAGCTGCCTGCTTCATGGAGTACAAGTCTCACGGCAACAGTACGAAATCCTGGCTAACGTGATGCCTTCATCTCATCTCATTCACCAGCTGCATGTGTAAAACCATTGAGAGAATGGTACTCAATAGATCATTGTATAGAAGTAAACAACAAATGTCACCTGGTATCAACGGTCTCACATATGGTAAAATTTGTGCACAATTGTATCGTAACCGTTTTCACTGTTCATTGAGATAAAAGGCACAAATACACGACATTTCTTGAATTGAAAAATACCTTTTATGTTGCTAACAGGGAAGTGATCCTGTGTGAATTACCTAGAATGGATATAGGTGGTCAATTGTCACATTGTATGCGAGATTATCTTACCAACCAGAAGTACTCCGCACTGTTCCAAGCTACAAAAATGATATTAAATTAATGAAACTAGGCACACCACAAGGAGTATTAAGCCCCACCATTTGTAATGTTCAAATAAATGCCTTAATAAAATTAAATCCAACTAGTCCTAAAAAATCACTATTAGTAAATGCAGTTCAATGTACATATAATTGTACATAGTAAAACTCACCACTACATGCAAATAATCTTAAATTGCATAAGAACAGTTTGTGAGAGCCTTGGTCATATAATCAACACTGTAAAAAAATAAGGTATTTATCAGACAAGTTGTTAATAACAAAAGTGGACCACAAAAAGTAAAGACTGATAACATACCACAAGACAATGTATCCTCTTTCAAATACCTTGATGTCTTGAACCCTTATATCGTAACTGCAGTCAAAAAATTACATCAACAATACAAAGAAAGATTCAAGGCTCTCAGACCTGCGGTGGAATACAGCCCTCAATAAGGCATAAATATTAGAATAAAAACAAATGATGTTCTTAGTATACAAAGTCAATGATAGACTATTATAATTCACCCTCAGTTCTAAAATATGGCAAAAGTATTGATAGACTGGAAAAAATTAAAAATGAATCCCTCAGATTTATATATATATATACATATATATATATATATGTCGTACCTAGTAGCCAGAACGCACTTCTCAGCCTACTATGCAAGGCCCGATTTGCCTAATAAGCCAAGTTTTCCTGAATTAATATATTTTCTCTAATTTTTTTCTTATGATATGATAAAGCTACCCATTTCATTATGTATGAGGTCAATTTTTTTTTATTGGAGTTAAAATTAACGTAGATATATGACCGAACCTAACCAACCCTACCTAACCTACGACATATATATATATATATATATATATATATATATATATATATATATATATATATATATATATATTATATTATATATATTATATTATATTATATTATATTATATTTGTGTGTCAGCCTTCCTGGCTGGGCGTGGGTGTCTAGGGTAACTATCACAATGAGGAAAGGAACACAACCTAAAATCAACGTATATTGATAAATAATATATATAACCCTAGTCCAGTTACAAAGAAATATATTTATATGTGCTTTAATACAGTTTCTACGTCAGACCCTAATAACAGTGACATGTAATAAACATCAACATCTGCCATACGTCAGCCATAATCACTAACTAAATATTAATAATACAAACTTAAATTATATCAAATAATAATTATTATAATTGACTGGTTCTAGATACTCTTCAAGTACAAAAAAAATCCCTCAATGAACTGCTTAGCTGGCAAAGAACATTTTTATAGATCAGTCATTCTCACAAACCATCTTCCGGTGCGCGGTGAGACCTCACTTGCCTAACTAGGCTACGTTTCCACTCTCTCACTCCCACACTAATTTAGTTTGGAAGGGCAAAAGAAGCCACCAGACGAGGTGGTTACTGTATTATTATGCTAACGTTCGTTGCCCCTAACAGCCTTCCTGTTCGCGAGAAATGGAAACCATCACACGTTATTCCACAGGTAATGAATCACTTCTCTCTTTACCGTCATATTGGGCTAGTGATCCATTAATTAATACAATAATGTGTACAGTGAGCATGTTATTAATACTTGATGTTCCTACCCAATCATATAAGTTAACCAGTTAATGTTTTCTGAGCGTCAGATACTTCTTTAGTCGGATTTTTCAGTAATAATTATTTCTCATCTCACTTGTTGCATAATAGCTAACTATCATAATGACTCCGGCTGAAGGGAGACCCGCTATTAAGTCCCAGTGCGGCCAGCTGACCATGAAGCTTTGGCTGCGTCTCAGACAGTTAGGCAGGATGTTTATGATGCTCTATCTGGGGCGGGCTGCAGGCTAAGTGAGACGACGCCAGGAGCAACGGAAGCGACGTAAAAGAACGACGAGGACGACGCCAGGAGCGACGAGGGCGACGTTAAGAACGATGAGGAGCAACGAGAACGGTGCCAGTAGCTACGTTTCCACCCTCTCCGTCATCATGAGTCCTTTTCAATCCAGAATGTGATACAACTGGTAGGATCAACACCCACTCTGAAGGTAAGGTGTAAGACCACGCATGGGTCTAGAGTCACTATCTAGACCCGTGAATATCTCACAAATTTGGCTGGTTATTTGTGAGCCAATTGGGTGTTTACGACAAGCCGCTGGGAAAATGATTATCCTCCGGAACGTTGTTTGAAACAGCAGGAATCGAACTCGGGACTCTTGGATTGTTAGGTAAGAACATTAACCAATCTTCAAACAGTACCTCTTGTCTTGGAAGCTAGTTTAACTTTCATAGTATAATGGATAATTTCTGTGGAACATCTATCAGAACGGCATCCTAAAGCTAATCTAAGAGGCCTGTCCATATGTCAAAGGTTGACCATTGATCTGTACTGGACCAATAACAACTTAAATCCCATCAATCTTTCATTTAAAACCATCTTGGTGATGGTGCTGACTAGTAGTTTTTGCCACAGAAAAGAAAGGTAATGGAAATTATGCAGGAACGCCAATATTTTTAAGTCAGCTATCAGTATGCAAACAGTGAGACGGCTCCCCCTTCTCCCTTCCCTCTCGATCTGGTGCTGGGCTTATGGCCTATCAACCTATGGAAGGTTATTAAGGCAACAACAACATCTTACAAGGCAGCCCTCAAGTATACTTCAGAGTTTGACATTGTTCAAGACTAAAGTTAAGTCTCAAGTGTATATACATCGAGAAGCTGGTTACACTTCTGAGTAAATCCCTCTAAATAGGATACATCTCACTGTGTTTATACTTTTGTGTTCTTACTGATCAACTAGAATGAAAATATAGCCAGAAAAAAGTTCAAGACAAGAATTTATCTTGAATTTTATCTGAAAATTTATTGAGTTGTCAATGAATTTTCAAAGTATAAATACGTATTTATACTCTGGAAAGTTTTGTCATGTCTACAGTGTTGCACCAGTTTAGTTATCTATGCTTCTCTTTAATTCTTCCATAGCTGCGTACACGTTTTACACAAAAAGTTCTGAATTAAATTTATGGCTTATGGCACAATTCAGAAAATGATTTAGTTAGTGTTACAATACATTTTCTCAAAGAAAATGGATTTTATATATGGTAAACAAAACTAATTTTGTACTTTGCAATTTTTATAATTTCTCCTAATTTGAATATTTAAGTCATCTTATAGCATTGAGGATGTTGCTGTTGTTCAATGTTAGACATAACAGGGTTTCATACATAAGAAATATAGTATATAATACAAGGCTGAGAGTAAGCCTGCTTTAAATTAATTTAGAATGTAATTATTATGTTAATTCAAATTCTGCTTCATTATACCTTTACCTGGTTGATACCTGGTTGATGGGGTTCTGGGAGTTCTTCTACTCCCCAAGCCTGGCCCGAGGCCAGGCTCGACTTGTGAGAGTTTGGTCCACCAGGCTGTTGCTTGGAGCGGCCCGCAGGCCCACATACCCACCACAGCCCGGTTGGTCCGGCACTCCTTGGAGGAATAAATCTAGTTTCCTCTTGAAAATGTCCACGGTTGTTCCGGCAATATTTCTTATGCTTGCTGGGAGGACGTTGAACAACCGCGGACCTCTGATGTTTATACAGTGTTCTCTGATTGTGCCTATGGCACCTCTGCTCTTCTTTGGTTCTATTCTACATTTTCTTCCATGTCGTTCACTCCAGTACGTTGTTATTTTACTGTGTAGATTTGGTACTTGGCCCTCCAGTATCTTCCAGGTGTATATTATTTGATATCTCTCTCGTCTTCTTTCTAGTGAGTACATTTGGAGGGCTTTGAGACGATCCCAATAATTTAGGTGCTTTATTGCATCTATGCGTGCCGTATATGTTCTCTGTATCCTTTCATTACATTTATATGATGAAATGAATATATATATATATATATATATATATATATATATATATATATATATATATATATATATATATATATATATATATATATATATATATATATATATATATATATATATATATATATATATATATATATATATATATATATATATATATATATATATATATATATATATATATATATATATATATATATATATATATATATATATATATATATATATATATATATATATATATATATATATATATATATATATATATATATATATATATATATATATATATATATATATATATATATATATATATATATATATATATATATATATATATATATATATTTGGAAGGACGCGAGTAAAATTTAATGTAGATTCAATAAACTCGTCCTCACATTTAATTTGTACGGCCGGCAAACAGCGTGCACAATTAATTTTATTTAGTGGAAATAAATGCATTAGATATGTACACTCTTTTGGACAATGATCGTTCGACTTTAATAAGTTTGTTTAGGTGAGTCACAATAACGTGGCTGAAAAATGTTGACCAAATCACGCTAGAAATTGAAAAGACGGCGACGTTTCGGACCGTTCTGGACCATTATTTATTTATTTATATATATATATATATATATATATATATATATACAAGAAGGTACATTGGGATTGTGAGGATGCATAATATGGTAATTACAATCTTGTAAAGCCACTTGTTCGCGCAGCGTTTCAAGTCCATTGTGACTTAATAAAGACAATCGACTTGATAATGGACCACGACGGACCGAAACCTCGTCGTTGCTTCAATTTCTAGTGTGTGGTCAACTTGTTTTGGTGAGGTTAAGTTCAGTGGGTTGGTTAAGGTTGGGTTAGATTAGAAGATTTGATGAAGGTTAGGTGAGGAAAAGTTAGGTTAGATAGTTAGCTTAAGTTAAGTTGGTTGGTGACCGTTAGGTTGGAAAAGATTTAGGTTATATGAGTTGGTCAAGCTCTACATTCTTTGTATACACAGGGTATATATAAATAGTCAAACACTACAAACTGGGCGTTCGGCCACATATTCAATAAATCTTGTTTATATTATATTATTTATATTACTAATACTTATGTAATATTGCTATTTATATTACTAATACTTATGTATTATTATGACATTACTTATGTAATTTCATATTATGAAATATTGGTACATGGAAAAACTTCAATCCATTTCA